TAATTCACGAGCTGTTATACAAATGCTATCCAGTTGTTTCCAAAACAGTCTCAGGGATATTGTCCAAAATATGATGCTGTGGTTAATGTTATACATTGAATTGGGGAGGGAGGGTACATATCAGATGACGTGGCTGATATTTTATGAAAGAAAGTTGAAGTGCCCTCTTTCCAGGTGAGCCAATTCCATTGATGTTGTCTGCAATAATTTATGTTGTCAGGCCTGGCAAATCACTTCTGTTCCTGTGCATCTAAAAGTCAGTAGTTTTCCAACATCCAGATTCCTGTGAAACAAAAGAACGGGAACCATGTGCTTTATCTTGTCTCTTACACTCTAACACTGACACCTGCATGTTGGTGTACTGGTCTGGAGTATCATGAACTGTGAGTGCCTCCACATACACTGTCCCTGCTCATTATCGTTATCACATGATACGGCTCTCCAATCTCTTAGATACTTAAACACTCCTGTATTTACATTTATACATTGTGTGTTCTCAAATACCGCACTCTGGTGAACTGCCTCTGGTCTTATAAGTTCGTTTTAGACTGGTGTGCTCTCTTTCACTGAGTCAGAGTCATGTATTCAGTTACATTATCACGATTTATATTTATCTCATTTTCTCACCATTCTGAGCCTACTATTCCATGGTTCTGCTTTCTTCCAGATATCATTGGCTTCTATGGGACAGATGGATGAATGTCCGCCTCTAGTCCCTCCTGGTATCCCCTTCAGATCTGTTTCTGAACAGAGATCCAAAGTTTTCCAAATAACAAGCAATTTTACATTCAGTGTATTTAGAATGAGGAGGGCTCCTCAGACCTTCAGGACATTCACGATTCACATCTCAAACAATATAGAAAATTCAGACGTTTTATGCCAGGTCTTAAGCTGCATAAATAATGGGAAGTTTCTTACTTTCGTTTTTTTTTCTACAAGCACTTCCTAACTCATAACTTAATGATTCTTTCAGTCTAGTTGTCAAGTCATATATTTCTCATGGTACCTTCTATGCACTATTGCATAGAATATTGGCATTTGTGTTATCATCTAGTAGGTTCTGGTAGGAATGCTCAAAATCCAATGGAGTCAGGGAACGGGAGATGCTTATATGTTTATTAAGGGATTATTGGGTAAGCACTTGACTGGGTATAAATTGCTATGATCCCAGTTGATGTTATTACTGAAAGGTCAGATACCTCCGACTGAAATCTGGCTTGGTAGATCATGCTTTGTTTTGTTTCAATTTAACAAGGTATTTTCTCACTGAAGCATAAGTATTCAATGTAGCAGATTTGTTTTTAATAATAAAACAGAAGTTTAATAAGAAAGCAAATTGAAGATAAAATAAAATAATCCAGGCTATTTACTTATAATTCAAACATAAGGATTTTGAAACACATGATGAAAGATCATCGTATTAATTCCAAAATGTACTTTTACAGATTCCAATACATACCTATACAGTATCCCAAAGCATCCCTTGTATAGCATTCAGACCAGAAAATCCCACTCCCCCACACCTCAATAGGTTTACTTTGACTTCAACTTCCAGTCTGGAAAATTTGACAGCTTCTTCCTAGAGTTATCATCTATTTGAGATTAAACATAATTAGCTTTAAATAACCTCTTCAGAGTTTTGCAAACTGAAACTGGTCTGAAACTATTCCTAACTCTTTACAGATCACAGAATCCCTACAATTTGGAAACAGGCCATTCAGCCCAGCAAGTCCACACTGACCCTTTGAAGAGCATCCCATCCAGAACCAACACCCTACCCTTGCATTTCCCATGACTAATCCATCTAATCTACAGATCCCTGAACACTACGGGCAATTTAACATCGCCAATCCACCTAGCCTGCACATCTTTGGACTGTGGGAGGAAACTGGAGCACCCGGAAGAAACCCATGCAGACACGGGGAGAATGTGCAAACTCCACACAGACAGCCGCCTGAGGGTAGAATCAAACCCAGGTCCCTGGTGCTGTGAGGCAGCAGTGCTAACCATTGAGCCCCTTTACTCTAGTGTTAACAAATCTAACTATTTTATCCTGTTCTCAGGATCAACTTTGTCCATAAAAACCTCTTAACAATTGATAGTAAGCTAAAAACGGTCTCTTCTAAGCTTAAAAAGGTCCAGAAATTTCTAACAGAAACCTTGAGGCATAATTGTTTACATTTCTCGATCACAAAATATTTCTAACGTAAATAAAACTCATTAATTCTGAAAAGTAGCTCTCACAAACTTTTTTTTATAATCACCATGGCTACAGATACACTCACAAGTTAATTATCAATGCCTTCAGGCACACAGGACAAACCCACATGTCAACACTTCAAAATCCCAAAATCCAAACTGAAGACAAGTTACATACACACACATATACATATATCACACAGTCTACATCACAATATATAGGGGTGCAAGTAGTCAGTATTGTCGAAGGTTGTGAAATGTAAGTAGAAATAAAACTCTGACTTGAAAAGTAAGTGCCTGGACTTCAGCAGCATTAAACCTTTGTTATTTAATACTTATAAAAGAATAACCTGTTTACTAATGCTCAGTTTTGTTTCTGCCAGAGCCTTCAGCCTCCTGACTGTATTACAACCATGGTTCAAACATGGACAAAAAAGCTGAATTCCAGGTGATTGACTTTGACATCAAGGCAACTGAGCCTGGTATTAGGGAGTCCCAACAAAACTAGAGTCGATGGGAATCAGGGAGAGTATTCTTTACTCATTGGAATCATACCTAGAACAAAGGAAGATGCCTGTGGATTTTGGAGGTCAATCATCTTAGCCACAGGACACCTCTGTAGGAACTCCAACTGTCTTCATTGCTGATTCTCTCACTATCACCATCCTGAAGGGTTACCATTAGCCAGAAACTGAACTGGACCAACCATTTAAATACTATGGCTACAAGGCTAGAACAGAAACTAGGAATCTTGCAGGGAATAATTCACCTCACATCTCCCAAAACTTGACTACCATTTAGAAGGTTTATGTCAAGAGTATGTCAGAATATTCTCCATTTACCTGGATGAGTGTACTATCACTCAAGAACCTCAACATCATCCAGGACAGAGCAGCCACTTGATTACCACCACATCCACCAGCTATAACATTCACTCCTTTCACCACTGATGCACAATAGACAGTAATGTGTAGCACTAAGGTTCCACAAACAGCACCTTCCAACCCTACAACATCATTTGCTACTTAGAAGAAAGGACAAGGGCAGTAGATGTGTGGGAACAGCTGTAAGTTTCCTTCCAAGTCACACACCATCCTGACTGGGACTTTTATCACTACTCCATCACTGTCTCCGGGTCAAAATCCTGGAACTCTATTCCTGATGGCCCAGTTGGTGTATCTAAAACCCACAGTTCCAGATGACAGCTTGCCACCACCTCCTCTGCGGCAATTAGAGATGGGCATTGAATGTTAGCTCAGACCCATCCCATGAGTAAATAAAAAATAAATTATAGTTGCAAAAACAATTTTGAAAAGCCATCAGTGCAAATTATTTCAATCACTGTATGAAACTCCCTACAGCCTGTCCACTGAACCAGTACCAGTTCCAGTTTAAAACCTGCATATGTATTAGCGGATCAGCACTGCTATAAATGCAGGCTAAAATTATCAGGTTAACAAGGCAATTAAATTGCTACACAAATACATGACTACACAAGGGTAGTTTTGGAGAAGACGCAAGCTAAGAATTAATGCTTCAGTTCATACACATTCAGTAATCCTAGTGCAGTTTATTTTTCTAGCTACTTGCTGCGTTCCATGGTGTTAACAAGCAAAATGTGACCAAAATATTTGTTAAGGAGGTGTTCTTTTCAGGAAGGTCTTAAAGTTAGAAAGACAGCTGGAAGAATTGGAAGGGAGTTCCAGACCAGGGGTTGAAAGAAAGCCTTGCATTTTAAGTTGCACATTTCATGACCACAAAGCTATCCCAAAGCACTTTCTGGAAGTACAGTCTCTCATGTCAGAATGCTTAGCGGTAATGATGTGTATAATCTACAAGATGTACTGCAGCAACTCCTCAGGCAACACCTTCCAAACAAATGACCTCTACCATCTAAAAGGACAAGGGTAGTAGATACATGTGAACAACACCATTTCCAAGTCAGACACCATCCTGATTGGGATCCATATAGCTATTTCTTCACTGTGCCTGGGTCAAAATCCTAGAAACCCCTTCCTAACAGACTCTAGGGGTCCCTACACCACATAAACTCCAGCAGTTCAAGAAGGCAGTTCAGCACTGCCTTCTCAGGTGCAATTGAAGTTGGACAATAAATGTTGGTCTAGCCAATGACATCCTGTGATTGAATAATGAAAAGGAAACATGGCATTCAATTTGTACAAAGCAAGGTTCCACAAACAGCGTTGTGATGACCAGATAATTTGCTTTAGTGATGTTGGTTGAGGGGTGGACAATGTATAGGACACCAGGAAAGTCTCCCCTGCTCTTCAGCAGTTCTGAGTGGGTGGACAGTGTGTCATTTGAAAGATGGGACAACTGAAATTGCCCCATAATGTCAGCACTGCTTTGTAGTCAACCTGCATTGTTTTACACAGACAGTGTGTGAAATGAGCTGCCAGAGGAAGTGATGGATGCAGGGACAGTTACAAGACATTTGGATAAGTACATGAATAAAAAAGGTTTGGAGGGATAAGGCCCAAATGCAGGCAGGTGGGACTAGTTTAGTTTGAGAACATGGTCAGCATGGACTAGTTGGACTGAAGGGTCTGTCTCCATGTTGTATGACTCTATGCATTGTGCACTGAGGACTTTGGTGTAGAGATTGAACGCACAATATTCTGACTCAGAAGCAAGTGTGCTACTAACTGAACCACAGTTGGCAATTTGCCTCTGGACAACTGAAGGTACAGCTGTTGCTGTTAGGGTGATGTAGTGGTGAATAAATGAAGGATGTACAGTTGAAGAAGCTTAAGGAGCTAGGGAGGGAAATCCTGTTAAGGGAGCTTGTTTCAGCAGCACATATACTAAAATTGGAATGATACAGAAAAGATTAATGAGATCCCTGTGCGAGGATGGTACTCAAATTCATGAAGCAGTCCATATTTTTAGGGGCTGTTGTGGTGCAGTGGTAGCATCCCGACCCGAGACCCAGGTTCAAGTCCCACCTGTACCAGAGGTATGTAATAAAATTGGGTTGAATAGAAAATAGTTTTTAACTACAAGAAAATAGCTTTAAATTGCAGGAATGAGAGTCAATATACAGTTTATAAAAACAGGAGCAAAAAGGGCATTGTGACAGTATTGGATACAGGCACGGTCCCTTTGAAAAGGGAATTGGATGAGAAGAAAAACAATTGCAGGACTACAAATCGAGGACAGGGAATGGGACTGAATTGCTCTGGCAGCAAACCTAAAGGATTTAACTGATCACACTTGCTTGATGTGTGCTGTAACCATTCTATAATTGTATGATTGGTTTGAGGAATTAGAACTGCTATTAATATATGCCTTATTGTCTGTAGCCAGTCTGGTTGTTTTTACATAATGGAGTAGTTTTCCTGAAGGCACAGGTACATTTGGAACGATGTGATTGGGATTTTCAAGATGGCAATCAGAAACAGTAGAGAAGTGACTCCAATATAATTGGTATTGTCAATTAATGTTGTTCTTAGCCACTTTAGTGTGTACATCTGTATGGAACGTACAACTGTGGATCCACACTATTTAATCAGCTCAGATTTCAATCAAGGTGATGGTGTTTAATTAATTATAATACTACAGGCGTTGTTCAAGAAAAGCAATATCATTAATGCAACAAATTTTCATGCAGTAGAAAAGCTGGTTGAAAAATTTAATGGGGGGATATATTTGAAATACAAAACTCAAATGAGGGTTACATTGAGAAATGAATGGAAATCAAGGCAGTAATAAAATAAATAGTACTTAAAATCATTATCTTTGTTCCTTGGTGTCACTGCCTGTTACAGCAGTAGCTGAGGAATTGTCAGCAGACAATGTCTTCATTATAGCAGATGGTGCAGTCATGACTGCTCTGAATTCCAGCAAAATAATACAACAGCCTCCCTCTGTTGTTAGTTCAGGAGTCACAAAGCACCACGTGCAGTGAGAACAATATTTTACACAGCTATGTTTATATGAATGCCCAATTAAGCTACCATTGTACAACAAATGTACATAACCCAGTTAAATGAGGTAAACCCATGGTTTTCTGAAGCCTGTTTCACGCAATTTCTTCTGAGTTCACGACTGAGGAAAATTGATTTTAAAGGTCATTTTGCCTTCTTTTTACTTGTTTTTCAGATGCACTCTAGGGTCTGTGGCAAGTACGAAGAGAAGTGTTCCTACTTTTTTTCACAAGAAGTGATGTTGTCTGTATTCTATAAGGATATTGTTTTGTTTAATATAGCAGTTTTCAAGTTTGAAACTCAATGAGTCTCTGAGACACATTCTATGGTTTTACGGTAATCTGGAGACCAGTGTTCTTCCCATCTGGGGATTGGGCCAATCAGTCCCACAGGCTGTGTGCAACCAGTCTAGGAATTACAGGTATGTCAGTCAGGTGGTGCTGTGACATCAGTCCAGTGGAGTTGGGGGTGGAGGGGACAACTTTTCCTGCAATGATACACAGCGGGGGAATTAATAGAATTGGATGAAAGAGAGGGGTGGAGGGATGGTCATGCAGGAGCAGGAGCGGCTTCTGCTGAGGTGCTTTTAGTTAGTAAGTAGGAGTGCAGAGGTCAGGCAGTGTTAGTCACTTCGGGAATGAGGTGTGTGAGAACCATTGAATGGCCACAATATGTGCGATAGTGAGAGTTGTAGACCGCGAGCCTTGGTGAAATATTGCAGTGACAGAGTTAGAGTGAAGATGGTGGATTTACCCTTGGCAAGTGCTGAAGATCATGATCCTTCTGCTTGTGATTGCCTTTCACCCGGTAAGTTATGGCTTCCTGTGGTGGTTGGCTGGAGAAAGAAAGGATTGCTGTCCTCACCACAACCCTGTCCACTAATACCTCCAGGTTCCTGTCTTTGAGGTGAAGAATAAACTTTACTTTCTGCTGGGCCATGTGTTTGATGAGATGAGAGCCAGTTCCTGGCTTGCAGAGTCTGAAGTAGTGTGAAGCTGTGCTTTGAATATGGTGTCAGAGGCATGAAAGCAAGAAGCATATTCACCTGATATCCTCTGCCCATATGATTTTCAGAGTTGTTAACTATTTATTTCAAAGGCTTCATTTAAAATAGCAAGGAGAGAAATTTAAGACAAACACTTTAAAGTGTTTGTTCTAATGCACGCTTGTAATTTTGAGACTTCAGCGTGCATGCTAATTTATCTAAGACAGTATTGTTGATTTTTAAAGAGAGCAAAGTTTACAGTACTAAGTAAAGAATTGGGATGTTTACTTATCTGTTCCAGCATCCATCTGTTCCACAGTTAGCCTTTGGACCAGGAATTCTGACATTTAGAATAGTATCTTACTTCAGACTAAAACAGATGGGTATTACAGAGCTCATCACCTTCAGTAATAAAGAACAAAGAACTGCGGATGCTGGAATTCTGAAAACAACAACAGAAATCATTGGAGAAACTCAGCAAGTCTGGGGAGAGGAAGCTGGGTTAACGTTTCAAACCTGACAACAGCTAGGAAAAGATGGTATGAATGCTGAAGACTTGAGTTGGGGGGAGAGCAGATTAGACAGAGGTGGATCCCAGATAGACAGAATGACAATTAGGGAGACAGAGGCCTGGATAATAGAATGCTTAGGATAAAGGAAACCTGATAATGGGGACCAAAGTAGGTGAAAATGGATTGGTTGTGCTGAAAGCAGCTCATGTCATGACAGGGCCTGGGGTGCGGAAATGGGTAAAAGACGTGAAAGAAAGTGTTCAGAGTCTAAAATGATTGAATTTGATATTCAGTTTGTGCAAACATAGAGCTCACAGTTTTCAGAGAAATGGGAATGGAATAGAGGGAGGAATTTATAGAGTGTTCAGAGTTAAGAGTTTTCACAGAAATAGGAATGGAAAATAAGGAGGAAGTTAGAAAGTGTTCAGAGTTGAGAATTTTCACAGAAAGAGGAATGGAAAAGACTTATTGGGCTGAATGGCCTGTTTCCACCCTATAGGGATTCTATGGTGATTCTGTGAAACCAGAAGTTAAACGGTGTTATTATTTACAGGGAAATTCTGCAGTGGGAAACTTGGCCTCACTCCAGGCGGATTTCTGGTTACACTCGGGTTAACAAATATTAACCAACACACACCAGATATGTTCATGTGTATGAGAAGGAACTGAGGCCCTTCAGCAGCATTTGGAAGGCACTGTAAACAGGATCAGAGAATTGGATGACTGCCAAGATGAAAGCAGAGTGTAAACTGGCCCAGGCCCTAAAACTCTCAGTGAGCTGCAAACCAGGCTATCCTCACTCAAGCATTAACCAAACATCCAGGAAACGATCTGGGGTTAAAAGATTTGAAAATGCAGCACCCATTTTGGGCAGAGGTGCAGTCCATTGTGACATGTCACATGTGCACTGAGTTTGGCATATTGGTTCCTCAGGTTGCCTGTTAGTTGGCTTAATGCCAATTGCTTCTCCAAACCAGGATCAAGCAGCTGTTTTAGGTCATTTTGTGAAGTGGCTGTGAATTCTCAGGCCAACACCAACCAAACCAATGGTTCCTTAAGGAGAGAGGTCGTCATGTGAAAAGCAAATTTTAAATTTGTTTCTTACTTGATTGTAAAATTAGCAGCTAGATTTTCAAGGCTGCTTCGGGAACCTGAGAGGCTTTTTATGTGTAAGGGTGTCGATGGGCAGGAGGCAGCTTTAGTGGCAGGCTGCACAGTACCTCTAGGAAGTGGAGCTGCCTGGATTGACATGCGAAGGCAGGAGGCAGCCATGTTGGATCTGCCATTGCCTCATTGAGGAAAGCGGGAGAGGTCACTAAAGACAAGGTTGGTAGCCATGGATGCCAAGGTGGAATACAGAGCTCAACATGAGACGAGTCCATCTGAGATTTCCCAAAAAGCACTTGGAAGCAAATTTTCTTTTGCCCCGTACCAATCCTGGCAGCTGTGCCAAGTTTCGGCTTGGTTTTCACAAAAGGCTTGAAAACCCCATTGATAACCATGAATCCATTGCCAATTGCCAGGAAAACCCAACTGGTTCACTACTGTCCTTTAGGGAAGGAATCTGCCATCCTTACCAGGTCTGGCCTACATGTGACTTCTGCCCCACAGCAATGTGGTTGGCTCTTAACTGCCCTATGAGGTGGGCAATAAATGCTGACCTAGCCAGTGATGCCTTCATCCTGTGAATGTATAAAAAGAAAAGCCCCTTAATAAGCTCTTTATGGAGATTGATTGATGATTAATGGATTTTCTGTTTCCAACAACTCTATTGGCTTTTTTGAAAATTGCAAATTCTATCGCTCGCTGTGGGATCCAGCGCTACCCTCAGGAAACACAAATTTCAAAATGCACTCTCCCATTCCTGCCTTCACCACTGACTTCTCTCCTCCCTCTCCCCATGTCAACTGGAAACATAGATCAGTTCTGCCCAGTGATCATTGCGCACCCTCGTACCCCCCTTGAACTAACTTTAGGCCTTAGGCCCATATCTCAGTCAGCTGGTCGACCTTCTCCACTATTCTACCCCCATTTGCCAACAAATAGCAGACCAAGCAGCATCATAGGAGCAGGAAGGCTGACGTTTCGGGCCTGGACCCTTCTTCAGAAAATCC